CGGCCGCGCCGCCGGCTCTGGGCGTCCCGATCGTGCCGTGACTCAAGCCACCGGGGGAGGCGGTCAGTCCGGAAGCTATGGAGTTGGCGCTTCCGGATACGGGACCGCTCGCGCCACCGAGACTTCCTCCGGGTCCCATCTGTCTACGGGCACCGTACGAGCGACCGCCCCCGCTACCTCCGCCGCCACCGCCGCCTCCGCCGGCTCCGTGTTGAGGACTCTGGTCCTCCTCGCTTTCCGCCTCCGACGAGCTCGGGTCGATCATTTCGTTTTCTCAGGAATCACTTTTCGTTTGATCGAGACCTCCCGCGCGAGGAGGCCTACCCTCGCTTTCTTCCTCCCTTTCTTTTCCCCTTCTTTCCTTTCTCTTTATCTGCCTTCCTTCCTTCCTTCCTTCCGTCGGCAAACACCTACGAGCGAACCAATTTCTCTTCTAACCTCCGCGTGTTCTCCCCGTCTTTAATTATCTTTGTCCTGTCCGTCTGCTCGCTGTCGGATAGACCGACGAGGAGAACGCGAGGATACATGCATACGTACAATAGCGAAAAACGGGCAGAGTCGGATTGCGGGTGCGAAAGAAAAACAAACGTTTGCCGGTGCAAACGCGACGAATATCGATTGCCACCGTTCGTCTCTGTTCGGCCCTGTCCTCCTCGTTGCTCTTTCGCGAATCTACTTCCTTCTTCTTCGATCGAGGATTGACTTGCGCGCGAGCTCGCGCGTTCAACCCGCGCGTCCGAATCCCGTAGGAAAGAAGGCCGATCTTGCGATTACTTCTCTCGCGTCTTATAACATCGCGACGTTCTCCGATTAATTAGAACTTTTTTCTATTTAAGTAATCCCTGCTACCCGTATACGGAGTTTAACGCGGTTCAACCCGGATACGTGAATGTTTCGGGCGTAACGTCGATAACTCGTTAAACGTGACACCCGCCGACAGCTCTGTCTCGCTCGAACATCGTTCGCTGTACAACCTACTTCTTTCTCTTCGTATTCGTCTTTCCCGCTATAAACATCGCACACGTGTGCGCCTTCGATAGTCCCGCTTCGTCCGACAACCGATTTCCTTTCGTATCGATTTTTCACGCTCTACTCTTTGCCTTAACTTAATTATTCTTATAATTCTTTCCTTTCTTTCCTTTATTTCTCTCTCGTCTAACATCGGTGTTCGCATCGAACGCGCTCTCGTAAGCAATGTCTCGCTCCACGAACGAACAAGGACAGTTATCGTAGCGCGTAAGCACACAGATGTAGAAAATTATCGACGTACAGAGTACTCTTCGTTCTTCCTAACTAGCTCTTCCTAACTAGCTCTTCCTAACTAGCTCTTCCTAACTAGCTCTTCCTAACTAGCTCTTCCTAACGGTGTTTTACGAGCACGTATAAAATACACCGTATACTTTCCTACGCGTTAATTCAACCTAAAAACGATTAAGACCAGTTCACAGAGATTATATTCTAATGGAGAGACGAAACGTACGGGGCCTTTCGCTTTCGATTAGATTGCCTTCACGGTCTGTCCCCTTTTCGTGCGGTATTCTCCCCGGTTCAGACGTGACCGAATAGTCGAGTCGGAGAAGAAAGAACGACGAAGAGCGCGAGAAAGATTCGAAAGGTAATCCATGCCGCGCTACCTTTAGCCTTTAGACGGGCAAGCATGGAAGCACGTGCAATCACCGATTACAGGAGCACTATTTCGACGTGCGGACACTTCACGAGTCTTCCAACGATCGTTTTCGTGCTATATCGGGCACCCGACACGAACCTTGTAAACTTGAAAATAACCTTCGGCTATTCGGCCGTTTGCTCGGATGCCGAATCGAGCGATCGGATGGGTGTGTCATGTTCGTCACCCTCGTAACCCCCGTGATCGCTGCCGCCGCTGTCGTTGTGTCGCCGTCGTTCTCCTCCTCGTCACCGTTCGCGGCGTATCGAAACGTTTCGACTACGAATCTACTTGTTCGAGGAAATTCTCTACTTTTATCGTTCTCCGTTTATCTCCTTCCTCTCTTCCTCGTTCTTTTCCGCTCTGACTCGACAGTTCGCTCGATCGCTCGCTCTTTCCCTCGTAATCAGTATCGCGTTCGTTCTTCCTTCGTGCATGCGCACGTGCTAAACCTTTTCCCGATCGTTATTGCGAACCAGCGAAAACCAACCTTCTGTTTTTTCTCAAGCGATGCGTGGCCACGATGACCCTGAATATCGGCAAATCATCTTGCGTTCATGTTATCGCGTTCGAACGCACTCGAGAATGTCGCTGCGCCGTAGCTCGTTTTTTTTCTTTCGCTATCGAATCCTCGCCTCCTGGAGACGCACCGAAAACGCGACGTGGTCGCGGCGGTGAAAAGAGGGAAACAACCCTCGTGTTTCGATGTTCGACTTGATTCGGCAAAATTGCAATGATTTCAGCGATCGTGTAATAGGCTGAAACAGAGAGTGGACGGATTCAACTCCCGACGATCGCGATCAACCAACGTACTCGTCCGACTCTGTTCGTCAACTGACCAACCGTGAAAACGATAGCGCCGACGCCGACGCCGACGCCGCACAACACCAACCCCGGCCGTCGACGCGACACGGGGACCGCCGC